CACTCGATCAATAAATCATATATTAGTGATTAATTCAAATATATATATATATATATGTCCATCCAAAAAAATATTTGTGGATCTTCTACTGGCCACTTTAGTCATCATTTTGTTTGAAGCATCTTACTCCTCACCATTTCATTTTAAGAAAAAAAATCTCTATTTTAGAGCATTGATCGTTTGTTGACTAACGATTTTCATGCACAGAAAGACTTTTTAACTAAAAAATAAAAAGTTGGAGTTAAAATATTCCAAACAACTTTAATTTTTTTTATCATTATATCTATTTTTAAAGTCTAAGTATAAATTATTCATTAAAAATATAATATCCAGATATATTTAGTATATCTCACATTTATAAAAAAAGATACAAGAGCAAATAAATACTACAAATGCACTCTACCTATAAGGTTTTTGTATTAAATTGAATGTGTGTCATTCGTAAATCTTATTGCCCCCTCATAAATGGTATGGTAAGATTATATATATCAAACGTGGTCTATAATTATAATTACCATAGACGCTATAATAATTAAAAGGTCCCCAACCCCACTAAATAGGAGATTTTTCTTGGGCAAAGATAAAACCCTCTTTCATAAAAAAAAAAAAGAAACCAAAATCTATCTCAAGTCTTGTCAACAAGGAGAAGTTTCAAACGAAATGAACAAATTAGGGTTCAATTTAAAGATCCAAGAAGCAGTTATATTTGTATTTTTTTCGTTGTTTTCATCAAAGTATGTCTACGTGCATGCATGGAAATTGCATGGACTTACCAAAAGCGAGCATTTTCGTTTGGGCTTGGCCAAAGCATCCTGGCATGATCACCCGGTGAACCAATGATGGTGAACCCTTCATGCCACATATACTTCGGGAAAAACTTGGATATCAGAGGTAGACCATATCCGGTGGCACTTTCCGGTTTGCGTAAAGCCTTCAGCTTCGTCTGGGCCAGGAGGAAGAACAGTCGTCGAGTCTCCGACTCCACTTCTTCAAGAAGATTCAAAGGAATGCCATGATTAATAACCAGGGCCGTGGCTAGGTTTTCGGGGGCCTGTACAAATTCTTATAAAGGGGCCCTATTTTTTAGATATATTCGATTTTGGGTAACAATAGTGGCGTTTTTTTGAAAAAAAACGTCGTAATAGGTCCATCTATAGTGGTGTTTATTGGAAAAACGTCACTATATATATTTTTTTTTGGGCATTTTTTTGGGCCTGCGCAATAATAGTGGTGTTTTTTGAAAAAAACATCGCATTAGGTCCATCTATAGTGGTGTTTATTGGAAAACGTCACTATATATATATTTTTGGGCTTTTTTTTGGGGCCTGCACAATAATAGTGGCGTTTTTTTGGAAAAAAACGTCGCAATAGGTCAATCTATAGTGACGTTTATTGGAAAAATGCCACTATATATATATATTTTTTTGGGGGCCTGAGCGGTCGCGCAGTTTGCGCCGCCCAAGCCACGCCCATGTCTCACATGCTTGCCCTGCAAGTTTTATAGCATTGGGATCTTTAAGATCGACGATCGGGATCGTTGACCGATGATTTGATGAGAAGTTTTCGAATTTAGGCCACACATGTGAACCGGGCACTGTCCGGACGGAGTTGATATCCAAAGGGATGATATGGTGTCCGTGGATCGGATTTTCCCTATAGACTTGGGAGAGAGCAGTGGTCATTACGAGTTCAAAGAGAAAGAAAAAGTAAACAAATAAATTAATGAACTATGCTCAAGGCTTTCTTAGCTGTGTTGATTAATAAAGCATGTACAATTTTATATACATATATAAGATTGTCATGTGCTAATATAATATAAATTAATAGAAGTCATGAGTTTATACAGATGTGTTTGCATGCTATGTGTTGTCAATAGAATTAAGAAAATTATGAACATGTACTAAAATATAATTATCTCATACTTTAAAAAAAATATTCTCCCATGTAGAATTAAGTTATGATCGAATAAGTCTTTGATAGAAATGTTATCTCAATTAAATTCTTAATTATTTGAAAATTATATTCTAATAAGTCTTTAAAATTTTAAAAAATAACAACTCAATTGAGTCATTATTAAAAATATTATAATCAAGTTTTAGGGCTTATTTGATCATGAATTTTCAAATAAGAGGTTCAATTGAGGTAATATCCGCTCAAGTACTTACTTGATTATTACTTTTTCGATAGACAGAGGTAGAGCTAGAATCAAACATTGGATGGGAGAAAGATTTATTAAGTATTTAAATTTAAAAATTGAGAAAGACAAAGTTTTTATTTGACAAATATTTAAACTAATAATGACTTCAAATGATATTCTATCAAAAAAAAAAATGGGGCACAGTACCTCCTACCCAACAAATGGCTGTCTCTATCGACATGGATCAACTTGTTATACAACCCTAAATCATCTATATAAATTTGATATACAAAAAATATATATAAACATTATATAATAGAAAGATATGAAAATTTAACTCTTCTTAATATTCGCTATTGACTCTGCCCGTTACTACTGGATTTGAATTAGATTATACATAGGAGTGGTGGCTAAGGGTGGCTGTTTGGACATAATGTTGTCTGGATGTCGAGACAATGGTTGAATCAGAAAGAAGGAACAAACAATCAGAAATTTGGGGCATCTCAAACACTAAAATAGTTTTTATATTCCATGATAAGAGGGAATTTTTTTATATTTCATTTAGTTTTTGGGTACTTTGTCCACAAGGGTTCAGTTCTTGGAAATTTTGAAAAGGATTGCCTAATTTAAAAGTTAAATAGCCCCATGTCCAATAAAAACAAGAGTAAACAACATGTTTAATGACCCAACTATTATTTTTATTGCGTTTTGGTCACTTAATTATTTCTTTTTTTCAAAATCATAGTTGTTATATTTTGATCATCTATCATTAAAAATTTAACAGAATTACTGACGTGACATTTTTTTATTTTTTCAATGATGATGTAATGTTATCTTATAGCGGTATATCAGTATCACCGTTGAACTTTTTAATGGTGAGTAACCAAAATAAAATCAAAACTAAACGTTAGATACGATTTAAAAAAATAGTTGAATGACCAAAACATAATAAAAGTGATAGTTGAGATACTAAACTTATAATTTACCTTAGTGACAATTGCATAAAAGAACGTAATAGTTCAATCAGCCGGAGTAGTTTTTATTTCCTTTTGTATCTTTTATCAAGGAGAAGATCAACCCACTTTGAATTCAGAAATAAATAAATACATAATCAACTATATAACCATCGATATTCAATATATTAATCAACTAATTTAATATTCGGGTATTTTAAAAGAGAAGACGACTTCCCCATCATTAAAATTCTTTTTTTACCTAATTTCTTTATTACGAAAAAAGCAATATCGTTGATTTTCGCCTCATATCTTAGATGTATAATCTTTGCCTGTGTTAAAATTTCAGGAATAATGTCCATCCCACCAATTGCATCAAATAAGATAATTTCTATTCGATTGTGAAAAACACTTTGTAATTAAGGTTGGGTGGTGAATTCTCTCGTGCGATCATCATTTTGGTAAATTAAAAAAACGAACAAACACTCAGCCAAAACTAATAATAGATAAAAATATTGAATTGTTTTTTTCCTTTTTCTATTTTTCTTTTAACAAATAAAATCATAACACAAGAAACAAAAACACATTTAGGGGCCACATGCTTGACTGCATGATTTAAATGAATTCGTTAATTAGAATCCACTGAATAAAACAATTTTTATATTTATATTGTTTGAGTGGCACATGGAATAAGGGGAGAGTTTTGTACAATTTCACATTTATGAACATTTTTGTCCAGTTAGGTGATCTCTTATTACACGTGAGGAATGATTAGTACCTTTAAGATGCATGTAGTTATAACCGTACTATTATTATATCTTACACATATTGAACCACCAAATTTAGAAGTTGAAAAAGAACACATGAAAAGCTTAAAAATATTTGCCACTGATGACCAATTGTGTAATCCCTTAGACCCAACCTATACATTACGACTAGATCTAGCGGATTACGTTAACGATCTTAAAATAACTTAAATCATAGTAATATTAAATAAGTTAAAACAATAATATAAGACATAAAATATTAAGTGTATAACAAAATATGGAATGTCAAAAGTAAACCATAAACTGAATATCCCAATAACATGTACATCAGTAGTAAATTAAAATACAACATAAAACATGCAACACAAAATAAAACAGTCACATGTCACCAGATAAGGACAGTTTTGAAAGATAGAAACATTACGACAAAAATTATTGTAGGTCATGTGTCGATCCTCTAAGTGCCAAGTCAGGGGTGACTATCCAAAAGTATCTGAAAGGGGAAAAGTTTAGAGAGTAAACTAGGGAGCTCAGTGTGTCCCAATAGTGCAAAAAAAAAACGTTTTATTAAAGTATTCAAAAAATGATTCAGTAACGTAGCATAAGGCATTCAGTGAGATTTTATAGTTTAAAATTCATATATACCCTCCTCCCGTACACCGAAATGCAATCTCTCATAACTGCATCCATAAGGACTTACCTTATACCCATTGGTATAGGGGTATATGGGCTAACCTAAGGGAGCACCTTGGGGCCTGAGAGTCTACCCAAGAAAGTTCTCAAGGCCTCGGAGCATACCCAAGAGTCGCCTTAGGTCCGTAAGAAATTACCAACTTGATCAAAGCTGAACCTACATACTCCAGTATCCTACCCAAAATAGTATCTCGATAAAACAATTCACACAGTAAGTGAATTCAATGATCCATAATCGACAAAATCATATTTCCAGTAAGAACAAATAGTCAGATAACATATATCAAATAGCCATAGTTCATAAACAATAAACTAGTAAATCGTAACGTCAAGCTGATAAAAAATTCAATAATTCAGCAATTTTGGAAAAATCACATTTCAAAACAGATAAAACAATCATATAGCACATAAGGAACACACCTAACAAAATGGATCAGTCAACAGTCTACTGAGCACCTATCTCACAACGCTCTACAGTAGTGCTCTAACCTAATTCATAAATAAATGAGTTAATATCGAAGTAAAATTTTAATCTAGGTATTCATAATATTCACGGGTCATACGAGTAATCATTGGCTCACAAGGTCGAATAGATCGAGAGGAACTGGGTCAAATTGTCAAATGGTCGGGAGAATCTCGTGCACCTTCAAATAAAAATATCTTAGATCAGTCATTAACCTTAATTTAATTATTCTTAAACAAATGCTTAATTACATATGCATGCTCGAGTTTGACGGACAATTTGTAGGCTTTCGGGTTCAAATTTGACAAAACAGACTCCAGATTCAAACTCATGACGTTAAAAAACATAAAATATGACTTTTCAAAAAATTTGACTTTTTGGACAAAGTCAACGCTGATCAAAGTCAATAGTCAAGTCAACAGTCAGTCAAAGTCAACGAGTTTACTCTGTTCGAGTTGACTCAACCAGTTTGACTCAGCGAATTGGCTCAGTGAGTTGACTCAGCTTGACACGGTTCGGTTTGACTGGACCGGTTCCAAAAGACTCCTGGACCGACAGAAGATCCCCTCGCGCACGCAGCGAGCGTGACAGGGTCGGGGGGCAACAGCCGAGCACTATGAGATCACCAAATCATCAATACCAAGACGTATCAACACTCAAAACCAGCTAAAACCATCGAAATCAAAAGTAAAAGACCGAAACACTTACCCCGACGGCAGACGGACGAAACCGGCGACATCGACGTGACCCAGTGGTTGGGTTTTGAGCGCATGGAGGTGGAGAATTCAGTGGCGGCGGCAGTGAGGCAAACCAACGCCTTGAACGGACAGAATCGAGGAAAAATCGAGCGACGAGGTGGGTTTTGCGACAATTCCTTGGTGAGTTCCCCCACAGTGAAAGACGACAAATTCTAGAGCGGGGTTGGAGGGGTTTTGGTCGCCGATCGACGACGAGTAGAATGTTGGCGGCGGTGCACTCCAAAGATGACCAGACGACGAGGAATTAGTGAAGGGGCGGCGGCTAAGGATTGTCGTTGGTAAATTTGGGAATTTGGGGTTTTTGATTTTTGGAAATGGGGGATAGATTCAAAACCGAACTACAAACTTTAAAAATTTGCAATTTAGTCCCTAAATTAACTAAATTAATATTTTAAAATTTTAATTTAAAATGGGTTGTGACAAATTGATAATCCAATTGTCTGCTCTATAAACAAGGTTTTCTTTAAGGGGAACAAAGATGATTAATGCAGAAATTTCCACACAAAAATGTTGAGGCATTAAGGGTGACATAGATAAGTAACTCTCTCTCTTTAAATTCATACCTCTTTCTTATCGTCGATAGTAAGTTCCGGATTTCTTGCTTCTTTTGCCATAACAATGGCGCCTTGAGGAACCCCTACATATAGACCATTTCTTATCAATTGCATTATCATATTCAAATCTCGATTCGGTTGTGTTTACTGGTCCACAAATCACAACTTCATGCAAAAAGATGTTTTCTATCTCAGGCTAGGGAAACCGGTAAACAATAGTGATGAAACCGTAATGGAGACCGATGAACTACATATTAACCATGGGAGTAGAAGGATCACCTGTTGGTATTGAGGTTCGTTCACCAGAGCCAGTTCCTTGACTAGTATTACCAGCAACAGCTATCCTCCCCTGAAATTCTTGTGAAAACGGCATGTTTACCACTGCTTCAAATTCACGATTGCCTGCATGGTTTTCACTAGCCGGCCTCGTAGCAGATTTAGGGGAGTAGGTTGTCGACCAAGATCCTCCGTTTGACCCAGCCAAGGCCATTATTACATCTGCCTGAAATAACCATGCAGCAAACAGTAGCATGAACACAAATGTATGAAACAATAGCATTCATATATGTCATGGAGACCAACTAAGCCACAGGCCACTAGACTAAATTCTGAAAGAGCTTTAACATAGAAGGGGTCCTGCATGCCGTTAGAAATCCGAGTTAAGAGGACTCCCTTTGACTAAACATTTGTATACCTTAATTATAAGTGTATTTCAAGCAATCCAATTGGCAAGTTTCCGTCAGGAAGAATGGAGCAGAAAAAAGGGTGAGGAGAGACCGGTTGAAGGATCATCAATGTCCTTCCCTCAAATGATATCTTTTAGGATTATGCGTGGCCATCAAACATGTATGAAGAAGTTAACAGAAGTGCAGCTGAAAGCCAACACCCCTTCGCGTTTCAAAAACTAAAACGGTAAAAACAACTAACAGATTGGTTTCCCATAGCTCAAACACCAGAGAAACATAGCTCCAAGTGCAGCTCAACAAAATGATTAACGGTCATGATCCACCCGTTGCCGAATTCAAAATATAACTGACAACAAAGTAACTCAAGTAACAAATAAGATCAGACTTTGGAGAAGATTGAACTTTTCAAGAAGAGAAAGATACGGATTCTGAATGAACAGAAAGGAATCCTCCTTTATATCACCAAAAAGGAGATAAAGGGCTAATAATAGTTAATACAAAACTGAAATCACCATGTATTCTTCTAAGAAAATGAACCACTTAGCATCAGTATCACAAGATGGAATATGGATTGAAAAAGAAAACAAAAATTGAAGAAACATTATGAAATCTCAGTTGAACTCAAATTCCCAAGTCTATATGAATCTTCAGTTTCTCAATATTCAAAGGTAAATAACAGATCCTCATAAAAACTATGCATATATATATGAGCCCCTGTAATGGCATATTTCATGGTCCCACACTATTAAATCTCAAATGGACTGTAAAATCCAAAAATAGAGAGCTAAATAAAGAAAAACACCTCTAAACTTCCATCAGAAGTAAACACACAAACTTAGGTAGTAGTCCATAACAAGCCATAGTGGTGCGCATATGTTATGCGAGAAAGTAAAAAAGGTAGTTCCATTTCCTTGAGTATCATGTTTAACTCGAAAACTAAATGTTATGCTTCTACTTTTGTAAATTATGTTTTGTTAGTCCTATATCGATGTTGAGGAAAAAAGCATTCGATCATTAGAACAAGACAACATTGTGTCACCCTAACCCAGCTACTTTGAATCAACAATATATTCTCCAGAAATTAAGGAGAATACTATATATATCAAAAGAATGACAGGCAATCTCATCAGATATTTCTGAAAACATGCTGGCATATCGAACTTTTATGAAACATCTAAAATCCAATGTACATGGTTATAAGGCAGGTCTATCGTCGGTTAAATTATATATTGTATGAGCTCAATGGTCCTTGTGTGCAAGACCATTGACTTCTATTTATTCCTACTCTTCATTTTTCTTTAAGTATCAAAGCCCGAGACACATCAGACACATTTTTGGACATGGGTAACAGGATATGACCCTCCAAATACATTGAAATGCGTAGGAAAAATTGAATATCCCGTGTCAGACACATACCCCTATCCAACAGTCATACCCGAGTTAGAGAAACACAGATGGATTCAACCAACAACGGAGAAATTTGAAAAGTAGTTGCTTTTGCAATTCTATGGATTATATTATGACTTAGCCTAGCAGAACTAGACCTGGATATTCAATTAGAAGAAATACTTGAATCAAACAGAGTTCCTTATAGGCATGCACCACAAGCTCTATGGAGGAAAACTGAAATTTAAAAACTAGAGCTCCAATGGGAAAAACAATAAACCAACCTTGTTTGGATGCACATCGTCAAAGACATGAGCCTGGCCAGCATAAAATATCGTCATTTGTCGGCTGGTGGATGTTAAGCCTCGTCGACTGTCAGTAAAACAGAAAATCCAGCTTTCATTATCAGTGTCTATCTTTTTTCTTTCCAGGGCACAACCACCAAAAACAGAAAACAGAGATTATATGAAATTCACCTTGGAGGGACTGAAGATTCTGGATCTGAAATATGAGCCCTCGACTTTGGCCTGCTGCCAGTTGGCACTACCCCTGATGAGTTTTTCTCAGCAGGAACACTAGGAGCATTAATAGAGCTTAATATGTCAGGGACTTTAATTCCGGTTCTAGATCCTTCATCAGCAGCTGCCGGAGAGATAACGGGACCAACATTTGTATCTTTGAACCTGTCCGATGATACTTGATGCATAAAAGGCATAAAGTGGCCACCACGTGTGCCATACTGAACTGCAGAGCCTATAACAGGGATAGATTGCTCCCATTTGGAAGCAATCCCATCAGGTCTACTACCGGTGGGAGCCAGTGATATAAGAGACGCAGAAGAAGGCCTCATTGACTGCATACTGTGTAAAACTTCATCTTCCTTTGTCCTTCTAGGTCGCTCTCCCCCAGCGCCATTATGGAGCATCTGAATACAAAAATATTTAGTACATACAAATGACTTAACAACAAATAGAGCTTCTTCACTTCGAAAAGAGAGAGATAAAACATAATAAGATGTACAAAAAATACCTTCATCAAATGCAAGCTTTCAAGAGATTCATGACCCATGAAAAGCGAGTCCGACTTACTTCTCTTACTTCCTACCAATCTGTTGCTTATCTCTGTCCCAGAAATGTCACTCTTTGGACCGTAGTATGGAATGCCCTCAAGATGATTTCCCACCTGTCCAACTAATTGGTGAAAAAATGGATCAAACTTTAGTTGTAATAGGTTGAATACCAATTCAAAAAAAAGATAGCAACATCAGCAATACAATTACAAGAAATAAATTTGAATATTAAGAATGTCAACATACTGAGGTAAAAAGCATATCATTGTGAGCAAGTGTGCTACAACAAACTAGCAACATCTATTATGGTCAAAATAAAGACTCCTAAAATAAAAACTAAAGACTCCTAAAATAAAAACTAAGACTTTGCACAGCAGCATTGAGTAGATAAAGTCACCAAACATCTAAAAGGCTTAATTTATCATATAAAAGAAGACAAATCGGAGAACTTGAAGTTTTCACTGAAAGTGGAACCATAATCCCTTACTTTGCACAGTCATATAGCCTAATGTTAAATAAAGAAGAAGAAGAAATCAGAGAAAATAGAACATGGAGAGAGGTGGCCTTGGTGAGGAGCTACCAACTCCATTGCTAACCTCACAAAAACTAATCCAAAATAGAGAACACCAACCCCAACCTTAGAGTAAGAACATGCTACTTTAACAGATAAATCAAGCTTTTCGAGTTTCAAGAACAGGGGAGAAACCCAAAATCAAAACTAAGCATGAAACTATACGGTAATAATTATATTTTCCCTAACGAGTTACTATACTGGGAATTTTTCACATGAAATGATGAAAACCACCCATCAAAAGCATCAAAGGGGGAAAAAGAACGAAAACCCCAAGCAATCCCATTTACATTACAGCTTCGAAAAGGGGCAGCTTTAAGGGCAAGACAGAAAAACTTACCAGAACCCATAGCAGAGGTGGAAGAGGCTGAAGCAGAAGCGGAAGCCTCAGAGACCCTTGCAGCAGTGGCCTTGGGAGCTAGAACGAGAGGGGAATCTGAAGCTTTCATACCCAGGAAATCATGAACCATTGTTGGGTTTACTTGGTGGTGTTGCAAATGAATTGAAGTGGTGTTAGCGTTGACATTGTCGATGTTGGTAGTTTTGCTCGGTTGGGCCATTTTCAGCAAGGCCATTTCATCACCACCACCGTCGTCGTCGTCGTCGTCATTACCAATATCTTCACATCATCATCATTCTTCTGCTGTTGCTGCTCGACCATAGCCTAGCTTCTCACTTCTCTCTCAAGCTCTTTTTGTTAAAAAAAAGAAAGAAAAAGAAAAACTGAGAAAAGAAAGCACGATTTTTTATAAAGGACAGAGAGAAGAGAGGGAGCATTAAAAAGCAAAAGGTTTTGTTTCTGTGATTCTCTCAGTTTTAATTGGGGGTTTAGTATTTCTTTTCCCGTCTCTCTGTGCGTTGATCAAGGCAAGGTTGAACTTTGGGTTGTTTGGTTCTCCGGCACAAATATTCCTGTTTTGTGTATTGTAGTTTATTGGACGGAGTTGAATCGAAAAAATTTAAGATAGTTGAGTTGAGAGATTCTATTTTATAGTTTAGATTTTATTTAAAATCTTTTGAATTTAATAAATTAATGAGATTCGAATCAAGTTAACATATTTAAATTTAATTTTGAATATTTATTATGTTATGTTATTATTTGATTTTAATTTAAACGTTTTTTTCATAATTATGTACGATATATATATATATATATATATATTCATATTTTTTAATGTGGTATGTATATATCTTATAGAATTATGAGATTCGACTCAAACTATAAAATTAATATACTAATTATTAAAATTTTAAGTTGTTCGTATTTTATTTTAAGAATACATGAATTCAAATTTTTTTAGAATTTAATTGATTATATAAAATTATGATTCGATTGGAGTTAAAAAGTTTAATTATACCTAATAATCTTACATTTATACTCCTCGAGTATTGTGCAATTATTCAGAAACAAAGATGCTCCTTTTATTGAAACGTGGTAAAGGAAGGATATAGGCTTATAGCTCCTATAAGGTGCTTTATTTGTTTTGGGTAAATTACATTTTTTTTAGTTACTCACTTATTCTTGTATTTATGTTCTGATCACTAAAATATTTTTTTCAATTTTTTTCTACTTTTACATTTTTTCTATTTTGGTCACTGATTTTTAAGTTTGATCATTGACTTAAAGGAAATAGTGATATGACATTTTGATATAATAATAGTTTTAGTCATGAAGACATACACATTCTATTAAATTGATCTTAAATTCAAAAAAAATCCTCAATATTTAAAAATCTTCAATTTGGTTCTCATTTTAATTCAAAATAATTTGTTAATAATCTAATAATAGTTTAGTGGCCTACTTCAGAATTGATGAAGTTTAGTGACTTATTGTACGAATATCTCTTTTTATTTTAATATCATATATGTTGATCATCCTCGTGTTCTCCATGGGTCTCATTATCGTCTTCACGTTGTTCTTCATCCTTCCTTCACCGTTTGACGATTCCCTTAGACTTCCATCGCAAAATTGTTCTATGTCTATAACCTCCTAACTCGACCTAAGTATTATTGTTAAATCTAATCATAATTAAATTAATAATTTATTGTATTCTAAAAGAACCATATTCGATAATTAAAAAATCTTTTTTCCACCTTATTTCTCCTTTTATCTAAGATCGATATAAATAAAGATAAATTATATGTTTTGTATTTAAATTATTATTTTTATTTCATTTTGATACTTAAACTTTTATTTTGTTTCAAAATCATACTAAATATTTATTTTTTGTTTCATTTTAGTATATTGACATTAAAAATTGAATAGAATTATTACAATATGACACTTTTTACATGTAAATTACATTATTCATCACTTAACTATATTTTCAATTCTATTTTAGTCGGAAAACTAAAAAAACAGCACACATAGTAGGGGAATCATTTGTATTTTGTACCTTAAAATCTAGGTTTTAAAAAAACAATAAAATTACCATTCATTTAAAAGAAAATAGACCCACCTATTAGCTCGTTTATTTTTTTAATACAGAAAGTGAAATACCGAAGGCCTAAGATAAGCATCCATCTGCTTGTTGGATGCAGTCAGAGTCATCCCCATGCATCACCAATTCTATTGCAAGTTCGAGCACTAAACGAGAGGTTCTACGTTAGTTTAACCATGTCATTCACTACCTTATTTCCTTCTTGAGCTACATAAATAAACTTTAGATGTCAATCACGATTAAATAATTTGACAATGAGTGGAACCATAGAGTAAATACCCTCTATCTTGTTCGAATGAAAATTAGTGCGTTCTTATTATTCGTTTCCACTACGATAGTTCACATCTTCATCCGCCATGTAACATTCAAACCCTCTAGAGTTTCATATCTAGAATCGAGCAACATCCCATAACTTTCATAAATCCCATAAGCCATCGACCATTAGAATCCCGTATAACTGAACTCTGATGGGCTTCCTCGTTCCATCAGAGTTCAGTTTATACTACTCGACGCGTGGTGTCCTCCAATCGAGCGAACAATGAAAACACACCAGGCCCAGACGACCAAACAGAGTATGCTTCGCCTCCAGCTGTAGGCGCCTACCACTTTGTAATACACTCTCCGCCTCTAAAAACTTCGAATTAAATACGACTATTTTACTGAATCTAGAGATACCAAATGATCCATCCAAACTAATATACTTTTCTTATTATCATATCAATAATTATTACTTTTAGAAAATATAATTAATATTTAAATATTTATATTAATTTTATTTTTTAACTACATGATATATGTGCCATAAACTAATATTCATATACACTATATATCAACCGACCGAAAGAATCAATGTCACGAATTAATTCGATATTAATTTATTTAAAAATTATTAAAATATTTTTATTTTAAAAGATGGTAAATATTATAATAAAATAATTTTATCTTTTCATATTTTTATAATTTCTAAATAAAATAATTAAAAGTATTATTTAAAGATCAAATACAAAATCATTAGATTCACATAAAATTTACTTATTTATTATTTAACTTTATTTTATTTATTTGAATAATAGATTTGGGTACTATCATTTTTCCATTTCTCCCATTGGCCTCCGTGTAAACCACTTCTCTCGTATTTTCGTCATCAGTTATTTCTCCACTCGAACTGCTTACATATGCTGTACACCAAAATTCAAATATATATTTTTTCTTTAAATTATTTAAATTCTTAAATTGATGAATTTCAAAGAAATATAATCGGAAAAAATTATTATAATGATGCACCCATAGGTCTTTGTATTTGGTTTGTAAATTTTATTTATATTTTAAGATTATTTTACTAAATTTATAAACGGAATTTCAGTTTATAAACGTATTTTAAATGATTATTTAACCTATGGTTTGGATGATGCCTTCGATTTATATGGAAAAATTAAAAAAAATAATCATTTTGATGACCTAATGTGACACACTAGATTCAATCAGATTTAGGGTACTATGTCTTATGATTGTTGACAATACATGTCCCATGGGCTAAGATATCCTAACTTATTAATCATATTATTGACCTCAAAACATAAACATAGAATCAATGTGATAGATATCAAAATAGAAAATTTGTTTATCAGTATATTTTATAATGGGGTAATTTACAATATAACCATCATGATGAAATACTATTGTGCGATCTAAAAAATTGATTTTCAAAGTTAAATGATCGAATTTGATAGTTTTTTAAAAGTTTATTGACAAAAATAAAAAGAAAATAAAAATTGAGTGACTAAAAATATAATTTAATTTGATATAGAATAAATTCACTATCATATTTTATCAACAGATGAATTGGATTAATAATTAATAATTCTTTTATTAATTCTCTAAGAATTATTTTATTTTTTGAATATCTAAATTCATTTCTTCTCTTTGAATAAAGGAGGTAACAATTTCGTTTATATTTATCAGTCTAAATATGAGATAATATACTTTGATGTTATTAATTATTATTTAATTAAAAAAATCATTTTTCTTAATAAAAAATACAAATATCTTTATAATATATATTAAATTGTATATAAGAGAAGCATGCCATTTAGAGTTATTTTTTATGCATTTTAATAATAGCAATTGGATGCCTTTAATAAACCCAACATATTATATATATGTATAAGATTTTTTTAATATAATTCGTCAACAACCTCTAGAGTAGGTGATTAAAAGTTTTCAGTTGATATCTCTTTTTTCTTAGGTCGTGAGTTCAGTAATTATTAAGAGCAAATATTCCTAATTCCCCTCCCTAGATAGAAATGATTAAAAAAAGTTTCAATATAATTTGTAGTTTGTTTATAGCTAACATAAAAAAACACAACTATGATAATAATATGAGGGAGAAAGCTTTTTCTTGAATAATGTGGAGTGAATTCAAAATAGTATATGTTTAAAGTTTTTTTAGACATTGATAACACGGACACATCCTGAATACGTAGTTGCTCGAATTTAATACTTCTATTGAATTTAAGACTTCTATGAATAATAACATTTTTTTTACTACTAAAATCATTCGATTATTTCAAAAATATCATAGGTATAAACTTCACACTTGTTGATGACAGGTAAATGAATTAAGATTATAAAAAGAATGTTTGATGTAATTCATACAAGGCAATCAAACCCCACCAATAATAAGCTATCACATCCAATAATTGGAGGACCAAGTTGCTGTTTGTGCAAGCAATTGTTTCTTACACCCCTCCAATATCCTCCTCATGGCCATATGATTTGTCAAAAAATCTTTGAATGGATCAGATTCCATCTCAGACCCCACAGGCATTATGCATCACATACTACCAAACTTTCACCAATACATGAAGCTATATGATTGAGTGACAACTGGTTCCTAGTGATGAAAAGAGGATTAGAGTTCGAGCAAATGAACAACAAAACCATTTTTATAGCTGAATCCAAGTAAGCAGTTTCTGTTTTCTGCAGCTGCAGGATGCAAGAAAGACGGGTAGTTCTGCGGTGTTGTAGCTTAATTTAGGGTTAATTTAAGATGGTTTCATTCTAAAATGTTATTATGTTCAACCTAAAAGGTTATACAAATTTATAACATTTTCAGTTGTAATTGAATATTATAAAAAATATAACATTTTCGATTGTAACTGAATATTATGAAAAATATAACATTTTCGATTGCAACCTGTCCAACCTAAAAAATTACTCTCCAACCTAAAAGGTTATGTTCTTAATAAGATTTTCAATTGGAACCAATTACTCTCGTTTTTTTAACCTTATATTAAGGATTTGTAGTTTAGAATTTTCTAAGAAAGAAACTAGATACAATAAATACATAATCTATCATCGGCACAAGGCATCACAAAGCAAAAGCAAAACCAAAAGGCAATTGCATACTTTTTTACTTTTTGAATAGCTGAGAGTAATTA